CACAGTCTCAAAGAAAACCATTAGTAACACACTACGCCGTCATGGATTAAAATCCTGCAGCGCACGCAAGGTCCCCCTGCTCAAGCCAGCGCATGTCCATGCCCGTCTGAAGTTTGCCAATGACCATCTGGATGATCCAGAGGAGGAATGGGAGAAGGTCATGTGGTCTGATGAGACAAAAATAGAGCTTTTTGGTCTAAACTCCACTCGCCGTGTTTGGAGGAAGATGAAGGATGAGTACAACCCCAAGAACACCATCCCAACCGTGAAGCATGGAGGTGGGAACATCATTCTTTGGGGATGCTTTTCTGCAAAGGGGACAGGACGACTGCACCGTATTGAGGGGAGGATGGATGGGGCCATGTATCGCAAGATCTTGGCCAACAACCTCCTTCCCTCAGTAAGAGCATTAAAGATGGGTCGTGGCTGGGTCTTCCAGCATGACAACGACCCGAAACACTCAGCCAGGGCAACTAAGGAGTGGCTCCGTAAGAAGCATCTCAAGGTCCTGGAGTGCCAGTCTCCAGACCTGAACCCAATAGAAAATCTTTGGAGGGAGCTGAAAGTCCGTATTGCCCAGCGACAGCTGGAGAAGGTCTGTATGGAGGAGTGGGCCAAAATCCCTGCTGCAGTGTGTGCAAACCTGGTCAAGACCTACAGGAAACGTATGATCTCTGTAATTGCAAACAAAGGTTTCTGTACCAAATATTAAGTTCTGCTTTTCTGATGTATCAAATACTTATGTCATGCAATAAAATGCAAATTAATTACTTAAAAATCATACAATGTGATTTTCTGGATTTTTGTTTTAGATTCCGTCTCTCACAGTTGAAGTGTACCTATGATAAAAATTACATACCTCTACATGCTTTGTAAGTAGGAAAACCTGCAAAATCGGCAGTGTATCAAATACTTGTTCTCCCCACTGTATATATATATATATATATATATATCTCTGTCTCATCCCTTTCTCCATCTCTCTCTCTCATCAGTATCTCCTCCCCTTCTCTCACCACTCAACACGTGTGCTTGTGCGTATGCGTGCTTGTGTTTTGAACCAAAATAGCTCCAGTGTTGTTTGCAGAGTGCAGAGGGGAGAGGAACAGAGAGAGAGAGGGTTGTGCAGAGTGAGATTACGTAACGACAGATTAATCATGTGGAGAGAAATAATCTGAGATTAGCACCGTGTCAGCCAGAGAGAGAGAGGGAGGGACCATGGGAGGAGGGTACAGAAAGAGGGAAAGACGAAGGGAGGAGAAATAGAGGGAGGAAGATGGAGAGATGAAAGCTTCTGTTAGGTGAAGGTTACCCACCTGACAACGCTGCCCTCAATTCAAAGGTCATAGTGTGTAATCTGTGTGTACATCCTATCCATGTATGTGTGTGTGTGGTGTGTGTGTGTGTGTGTGTGTGTGTGTGTGTGTGTGTGTGTGGTGTGTGTACCTATGTCAGCAGAATCAGTCCTTGAGGCTGACAAGAGACTCCATCGCTCTTCATTTTCCCTCCATCTAAATCTATTTTTTTATGTTTTGTCTGTATGTTGCAATTCATCTTTTAGGTGCAAATGTGTACAACCAAACCTTACCATAACAACCAAACCTTACCATAACAACCAAACCGACCATAAACAACCAAACCTACGATAAACAAACCAAACCTGGTACCAGAAACAACCAAACCTGGACGAGAAACAACCAAGCCTACCAGAAACAACCAAACCGACCAGAAACAACCAAACCGTACGAGAAACACCAAGCCTTACCAAAACAAACCAAACCTGACGAAAACCAAACCGTACCAGAAACAACCAAACCTGGACCATAAACAACCAAACCGGACCAGAAACAACCAACCGGTACCATAAACAACCAAACCGTACTGAAAACAACCAAACCGGACCATAAACAACCAAACCTACTAAAACAACCAAACCTTACCATAAACAACCAAACCTTACTATGAAACAACCAAACCTACCATAAACAACCAAACCTTACCATAAACAAGCAACCTGTACCATAAACAAGCAAACCTTACCATAAACAACCAACCTAATAAACAACCAAACCTACCATAAACAAGCAAACCTTACCATAAACAAGCAAACCTTACCATAAACAAGCAAACCTTACAATAAACAACCAAACCTTACCATAAACAACCAAACCTTACCATAAACAACCAAACCTAACTATAAACAACCAAACCTTACTATAAACAAGAAAAAAACCTTACCATAAACAACCAAACCTTACTATAAACAACCAAACCTTACCATAAACAACCAAACCTTACCATAAACAACCAAACCTTACTATGAACAACCAAACCTTACTATAAACAACCAAACCTTACCATAAACAACCAAACCTTACCATAAACAACCAAACCTTACCATGAACAACCAAACCTTACCATAAACAAGCAAACCTTACCATAAACAACCAAACCTTACTATAAACAACCAAACCTTACCATAAACAACCAAACCTTACCATAAACAACCAAAACTTACCATAAACAACCAAACCTTACTATAAAAACCAAACTTTACTTTACACAACCAAACCTTACTAAAAACAACCAAACTTTACTTTACACAACCAAACCTTACTATAAACAACCAAACTTTACTATAAACAACCAAACCTTACTAGATACAACCAAACTTTACTTTACACAACCTAACCTTACTATAACAACCAAGCCTTACTATAAACAACCAAACCTTACCATAAACAGCCAAACTTTACTATAAACAACCAAACTTTACTTTACACAACCAAACCCTACTATAAACAACCAAACTTTACTTTACACAACCAAACCTTACTATAAACAACCAAACATTACTATAAACAACCAAACCTTACCATAAACAACCAAACCTTACAATGAACAACCAAACCTTACAATAAACAACCAAACCTTACCATAAACAACCAAACCTTACTATAAACAACCAAACCTTACTATAAACAACCAAACCTTACTATAAACAACCAAACCTTACCATAAACAACCAAACCTTACTATAAACAACCAAACCTTACTATAAACATGACTCTGGTCTACTGTACACATCCATTGTTGTCCTGAGGGTTTGACCCATAGAGGTCTAGAGAAAAGCGTATGTTATATCTATGGTTGGTTTGACCTCTGTATGATCAGGTCACTCAACATGAATGGAACATTTTAACTACATAGCTAGAGTAACTGAAGCTAGAGTGCGTCAGACTACGTTGGACAGTCCGACTAATAGGCTACACACACACACACACACAGCTGACACAGACAGCACACAGTTTACACAAAGAGCAAGAATAAACACACACTCACACCCAAAGAGCATGCCCACAAAACACTACACAACACGACACAACACAACACGACACGACACAACACGACACAACACTACACAACAATGCCAATTGTAGGAGGGGGGAGAGGAGAAGAGAGAGGAGAGGATACACGTGTTTCTGTGTCTTACCTTGACGTCAGCCTTCTTGTTGAGGAGACTCTTGGCTGCCAAGGAGATTGAGAAGACACTCTCAGAGGGTAGAGTAGTCATCATACACACTATTGCTAAAACACACCTCACACAAACACACGCACAAGCGTCGACACCTAGCTAACCCCAAGCTAGCTAACACACACACTAAACCATCTCTCACACACACAGAACTCGCGAAAGCGAACACACTGAAACGCCAAACTCTAAATAGTGCCAACACACCCACTAAACCCTCTCAAGCTCATACACACAAAAACTACTGTAAACCCTTACAAACTAACACACACTAAAACATTCATAATCGCACACACACACATTGTCACTGTGACAACAGTGATCCACTGTGTTCTGTAACTATCTCTTATACCCCCCCCCCCCCCCCCCCCCCCCACACACACACACACACACAAACACACACACACAAGCACACACACATACATAAACACACATGCACAAAAACCTCTATCCAACTGCCACTCACTAACCCTGAACATTAACCACTGCCCAAAGCAAAGGGATCAGCACAGTCCATCAGGGATAGCACACACATACACACACGCACACACACAAACACACACACACACACACAAACACACACAAACACACACACAGGAGATTAGAGGTGAAAGTGTAGAGGAATGTGAAATGGAGAAGCAGGTGTACAATAATGGCTTTGTTCATCTCCCAGGCAGGTGGGATTCATTCAGATTAAGATTAGGGGATTCCTCACCAGGAAAATAATACAGTTTGGAGAGCCATGCAAATAATGATACACAAACACTTTACATTACAATAGAAACTGATCATACACTCACTTTATTATTCATATGCACACGCACAATCACACACTCATAAGTGCTTGCATTTTCTAAGGAAGGTTTATGAAGAGAGGAAAGAGTGAGAGAGAGAGCGAAAGAGAGCGAGAAAGAGAGAGAGAGAGTAAGAGAGAGAGAGAGAGAGAGAGAGAAAGAGAGATAGAGAGGTGAGAACACAGGAAGCTCTGGTGCTAACACTGATTAATCACCATAGCAACGCAGAACTTTTGAGTGGGAGGAGAATCCTCAGCTTTGGCCTGGAAGAAGAGTTTGAACACAGAAAGAACTCTATGTATCTCTTTATCTTTCTATCTATCGCTTTATCTATCTCTCTATCGATCGCTTTCTCTCTCTCTATCTATCTCTCTATCTAGCTCTTTATCTATCTCTCTTTCGATCGCTTTCTCTCTCTCTATCTATCTCTCTATCCAGCTCTTTATCTATCTCTCTATCTATCCAACTATCCATCTCTATCTATCCACAGCTTGTATCTCACACACATCAAACACACCTCACACACTGCTCATAAGGGAGAGAACAAAGGCTGAAAAAGTTCAACAAAAAAGGACTTCAACCCAAAGATACAAAAGACTAAAACATGTTGGAGGGAGAGAGAGAGAGAGAGAGAGAGAGAGAGAGAGAGAGATAACCCACTAGCAGGATGTACAAGATCACACCTACACATAAACACATACATACATACACACACACACACACACACACACACGTGTTGAGTGGTGAGAGAAGGGGATACTGATGAGAGAGAGAGAAAGATGGAGAAAGGGATGAGGGAGGGAGGTGGTGGAGGAGAGGAAGAACAAAAGGAGTGCAAAGGGAAGGATGAGGAAGGGAGTCCGAGGGAGAGGAGAGAAGAAGAAGAAGAGAGGAGAGAAGGTATAATTGTGGAAGAGGCGGAGGTATAGAAGCGAGGGATGGAGGGAGGAGAAGGGAGGAAGAGGATACCTTGCTCCACTATCCCAGCGGCAGTTGCAGGAACAGTAGTGATTGACGCAGGAGATGTAGACTGTCTACCAACTGACACAGAACGAGGGAGAAAAAGAGACAGAGAAAGACACAGAGCGAGGGAGAAAAAGAGACAGAGAAAGACACAGAGCGAGGGAGAAAAAGAGACAGAGAAAGACACAGAGCGAGGGAGAAAAAGAGGACAGAGAAAGACACAGAGCGAGGGAGAAAAAGAGACAGAGAAAGACACAGAACGAGGGAGAAAAAGAACAGAGAAAGACACAGAACGAGGGAGAAAAAGAGACAGAGAAAGACACAGAGCGAGGGAGAAAAAGAGACAGAGAAAGACACAGAGCGAGGGAGAAAAAGAGACAGAGAAAGACACAGAGCGAGGGAGAAAAAGAGACAGAGAAAGACACAGAGCGAGGGAGAAAAAGAGACAGAGAAAGGGAAGCGAAGGACGAAAAGAGAACAGGGAGAAAAAACAGAGAAAGACAGAGCGAGGGAGAAAAAGAGACGAGATGACAAGAGTCGAGGGAGAAAGAAGACAGAGAAAGACCAGAGCTGAGGGGAAGACAGATGAAAAGAAAGCCCAGAGCCATGCAAAAGGAGACAGAGAAGCACAGAGTCGGCCGCGAGATAAAGAGAATGAGAAAGACCCGAGCGGGAGAAAAAGAGACGGAAGAACAAGCGAGGGACAGCAGTAACAGAGAAAAGACACAGATGCGAGGGTAGAAAAAAACAGAGAAGAAAGAGCGAGGGAGAACAAGATACAGAGAAATTGACAATTGCGAGGGACAAATTAGACCAGAAAGACCATGAGCGATGGGGAAATTGGGTGACAGAGAAATCACCGTCAGGTGACAACAATCAACCGAGAAGAACAGACGAGGAAAAAGAGACTAGAAGACCAGTGCCAGTGGAGAAAGATACAGAAAGACCACTTGAGCGGGAGACAAAGAGACAGGAAGACCAGAGCGAGGAGAAAGAGACATGACAAGACCAGAGCTAGGGAGTAAAAGAACAGAGAAAGACACAGACGAGGGAGAAAAAGAAGACAGAAAGACACAGATGGATGGGGAGAGAAAGAGACAGAAAAGACAAGAGCAGGGAGAAAAAGAGGGAAGACCATGAGCGAGGGTAGAAAAAGAGACAGTAAGTACAAGAGCGGGGAAAAAGAGACATGAAAGACACGAGCGGGGAGAAAAGAGACAGTAGAAGACACACAGAGCGTACGGGAGAAAAGAGCCTAGAAAGACCAGAAGCGAGGAGCAAAGAGACAGAGAGAAGCGAGAGAAGAGGAGAGAAAGAGGAGACAGAGAGAGAAGACACAGAGCGAGGGAGAAAAAGAGACAGAGAAGACAGAGCGGGGAGAAAAAGAGACAGAAAAGACACAGAGCGAGGGAGAAAAAAAAGAGACAGAGAAGACACGACGAGGGAGAAAAGAGACAGAGAAAGACACGAGCGAGGGAGAAAAAGGACAGGAAAAACCAAGAGCGAGGGAGAAAAAGAGACAGAGAAAAACACAGGCGAGGGAGAAAAAGAGAAAAGAGAAAGACACAGAGCGAGGGAGAAAAAGAGACAGAGAAAGAAAACAGAGCGAGGGGAAAAAAAGACAGAGAAAGACACCAGAGCGAGGGAGAAAAGAGACAGAGAAACACAGACGAGGGAAAAAGGACAGAGAAGCCAAACGAGGGAGAAAAGAGACAGAGAAAGACACAGAGCGAGTGGAAGCGAAGGACAGAAAAGGGGAAAGGAGTGAGGGAAGAGAAGAGAGGAGTGTGTCAGTGTGTCAGTGTGAAGCGGAGGCCAGAGTGTGTAGAGGTGGCCAGATTGAAGTGATATTATCCAAGTCCCAGTTAAGTCTCATCAAAGTGAGTCAAGTGTCTCAGGTCGCCCCCCCCACCTCCTCCCCCAGAGTTGAGTCCCAACCCACTGGGCAAAAACTGGTTGAATCAGCGTCGTTTCCACGTCATTTCAACAACAAAAACATCTATGTGATGACGTTGAATCAACATGGAAAAATGTCATCAATGTAAGGGAATTTCATATTTTTCTCACCAAACTTTTAACCTAAATCCAATGACATGGTGACATTTTTGGTTGATTTCAAGTTGAATTCACGTTAGTTGACAACTCAACCAAATATAAATAAAAACTAGACTTTGACTGACGTCTGTGCCCAGTGGGAAGTCTCTCTCCCCTCTCACCTTGGTCGGCAGACACAGTGTCAGTGCAGAGGAAGAGGAACATGTCATGATCCATGCAGCTTACCATTGTAATCAAACTTAGTAAAGTCCTTCATAATGGGAGACTAAACTCTTTGTGATAATGACAACATTTTCATGACATTTCATATTATTTTTGGTGCATGTGGAGAGAGAGAGAGAAAGAGAGAGCAAGTGTGTGTGTGTGTCTGTGCGTGTGTGTTTGTGCGCACATGTGTTTGTCTGTGGCGTGCATGCATGCGTGCGTGCGTGTGTGCATGCGTGTAAGTGTTTATGTATGACACACACATTTACCGGAGAAATTCCTTGTCACCAGCATAGCTGTCAGGACTGCTCCCTATGGACAGAGAGAGAGCGAGAGAGAGAGAGAGAGAGAGAGAGAGAGAGAGAGAGAGAGAGAGAGAGAGAGAGAGAGAGAGAGAGAGAGAGACAGGGACAGAGACAGAGACAGAGACAGAGACAGAGAGAGACAGAGACAGAGACAGAGAGAGAAAGAGAGAGGGGAGGGAGGGGTGAGTGGTAGGTTACTAGTGTGTTGTGTAGACGTGAGAAGGCTCAGAGATTACTCCAGTGAAGGTTTTCCTAGTGATTATGAGATTATTAAGAGAGAGCAGAGCAGACCTTGAGTTTCCTCCTGGCGTTGAACTTCTTCAGGCACTCCACTGTCTCCTGTCTGTGCATCATTGATGCCACGGTGGAGCGTTGCTGGATAGAGGGAAAGAGAGAGACAATGTCCAACAGGGAAACCGAGAGGAAAAGTTTGTGTGTGTGTGTGTGTGTGTACTTACGGAGACCCATGGGTGTTTGAGGGCCTCCTGGGCAGTGATCCTCTTGGCAGGGTTAATGGTCAACATCTGGTTAATCAGGTTCTTGGCTTCTGGAGTCACCGAGTCCCACTCTGGAGATGGAAACTACATACACACACACACACACACACACACACACACACACACACATATGCAAAAA